CTTCAAATTCCAGGGAGGTAGATTTAGATTAGATGTCAGGAAACCACTTTCCTTCAGTTAAAGCAGTGAGGCAGTGGAATAGACTGCCCAGGGAAGTTGGGGAGTCTCCTTCATTGGAGACTTTCAAGAGGACTGTGTATGTGTGGAAAACTATGATTTTTTTTTTTTTAATATTGTGATGCTCCCCCCCAGAGGGACTGATTAGGAGTGGTTTAAATCTGGGCTGTTGACAATACTTCTCTTGTTCGCTTCCAGAAAGAGAAAAGGGTCAGTTTGAAGAGTAAGGGCAAGAGCTATAACCAGTGCCCAAATTTCAGAGGTGTCCCTCACCTCCCAGCACCCTCACAAGTGGCAATCTTCCAGCTCTGCCCCCGATTTTCCTGTGTGAGAGAAACTGGAAGTGAAATACTTGGGGAAAGTCATTTTGACTAGAGGACAAAGCCCCAGCTGAGTCACTTTTCCCCCTGAGGCTCAGCGAGGCCCTTCTGAGTGTTTTAAATAGGCACCATGGCGTTGCAAGGCCCGAGTTGCCTTTCTTGCATCAGTGCTCTGCCTTTTGGGGCAATGGTGGCAAACCCCCCATCATGTGCTGGCTCCACTGGGCATGGGGATGGGATTGAAGGACTTTACATCAGACTTCTCCATCTCATGCAGGTGCTGTAGCACTTGGAGAGGTTTTTTTTCAGGCCCTCAGACATGGGACAAGGAGGGTCTGTCCCAGGCATTTTAATTGTGGGAGGCTGAGACTTCATTTTTCCCCTGGTCTTGTGTGATTCACAAGCAGCGGAAGACGGAACAGCCGTGGAGTCTAAACAAATGCTCCAATGTGGGGAAAGGGCATGGGGTGGGCTTGATTTTCCTGCCCATGATGTTTCAGAACAGTCGTGCCCTCCTTCTTGGCACCAAGGATGCAGAATCTGTTACCAGACCGTGAGAGGCAACAAGGGGAATCGGTTCTTGGAAGCTGTGGGATATAAGGGCGAGAGGTCTCAGTTATGGGAAGAGCCTTTGTCCTTGGCTGTTTCCAAAAAAGGGACCCATTGTTTTTGCCATTGTATGAATAGCCCTTTGCCAGAACCTCCTCCCTAGGCAGCTGGTTCCTGTAACGTACTTATTCCTGCCAGGACTCGCATAGAGGGCATTTGTCCTCCTCCATGGAGCTGGGTCTCAGCCTCCAGCACAGCAGGAAGCAGTCACGGCAATGACAGATTCTGTCTTTACATCTAGTGCTGCTGACTCCCTCCCCCATCACTAAACTGCTTCTCTTCCCTCTCCTGTTCCCTGCATGGCCAAGGCTGCAGCCCATCCCTCTTCTTTCCCAAACACCTCTGCTGTCTATGGTTGACCTTCCTGCTCCTGTCTCTTGCAGACAAAGGATATATCCACAAAATGGTGGAGATGCCACATGGTGTCCTGAACATCATGGAGATCCAGCCCTTCCAGAACAGAGTTCCTGTCCAGTCCATGACCCTGGATCACATAAGGGTGAGCTCCTTCTTCTCTCTTAGCCAGGGCTGCCACAGAGAGGAGATGTTTGGAAGGCTGATCCCATGCTACTCTGTGGAAGAACAGAGGTGTTAATCCCAGTGCAGCTGCAATGTTGGGTTCCTGTCTTGTGTAGCATTGCTGTCCTGTTAGCTGTTAAACAGCTGCTGGAATCATGCCAGAAGTGGGGTAAGCAACCCCTTTGTGTGCACATTTAGTAGCTTGTCTAAAGCTTTAGTAGTCTTCCTAATGGAAAGAGCCACATGGGGATAAGCTGCTGGAGAAGGGCAAGGGTTAGTGTTCGGCCAGAATCATCACTCTTTTCTGCTTTCTTCCTGCAGGCCAAGCTATACTTGGGCTCAGACACTGAGGTGGTCCAGGTGCCCATGGACATGTGCGAAATGTATGGCAACAGCTGTGATGAGTGTGTCCTGGCAAGGGACCCTTACTGCGGATGGAGTGCTGGGAAATGCACCTCAGTGTATAGCAATCGGTATGTGTCACCTATGCGCTCCTGCAGCATACATGTTTTATTGCTTGTTTCTGATATCAGCATTGGTTGCAATAAACCTGTAACCAGACCCTCCACACCTCTTTCCTTTTCAGTGCTCTTGCATATGTGGTACATGCACACACTGCAACAGTGTCGCTTCCCCTTTCCTGTCCTTTGGCACTGGTGAATCCAGTGTCTAGGCAATGGCAGTTCTTGCACTTCCTTGCTGTTCCTTGCTCCATGTACCTTTTCCTTGTCCTAAAGGGACCATTAAAATACTTGTCTGGAGTGTAACACACCTATGCACAACAATGCAGTCCAGCATCTTGGCAGAAGTGAAAGGGAACAATATCTACCCACCTTTGTGTCAGATTGTGTGATGCCCTGACTTGCCTGAGGCTGGACCCTTCTCAGCTCAACAACTCCATCACGGTCAGCGTGGCTCTGTTAAGGATCGGAGCCATTACCCAACAGGCGCTTCCAGTGACTTCAGAAGGAACCCTGTTGTATAGCACTGTATTTGGTGAAAGTAAGATCACCAGCAGAGCTGATAGAAACTGGGCCAAGCAGTAATATTAAATGAATCTCTGAGCATTTGCACAGCCTGGCACTGGGTAGTCTCCAGTGGTTATAATTATGTTTTATCTGGTCTCACAGGTGAGAATAAAGCCATTTAGATTGAGCTGGAACAACTCCTGTGTTAAACAAAGTTAGTTTTGGGCCTGTCCATACTACCAAGAGTTGTGTGCAATGTGAAGGCCTACCTCTTCCTGCCCAAATACTACTAGACTGGTGATAGTTAGGGGGTGGGTACAGCTTTCACTAACTCCTGATGGTCAGGAACAAAACCATGGAATTGGGACTGCAGGATGGATCTCCTTTCTAACTCCTGCTCTTCATCATCATTCCTATTTTGTTTTTATTTAGGTCGTTGCTACAAAATATCTCTGCAGAATCATCCCAGGACATATGCCCCAACTACAAGAAGCTGAAAGGTATTCATGATTAGTGACTTGTATAGTTTTGCCACTTGTTTGAGGGAGGGAGCGAAGTAAAAGTGTGGGGTTTAGGACAGAGATGGAGTAGGTTAACATGGCTCGTTGTAGCTGCATGCACCTCTTAATCAGGAGTTCATAATAAAGTTCTTCAACATCCCTGGTAGGATTGTATTTCTTGGGATGCACTTTCTCCACAAAGTTATCTGGGGCTCTCCCTGGGACGTAGCCTCAGCTCTGGACACACACAACCCCCTCCCATGAGCTTAGTGGTGCTGTATGGCCAAAAGTAAGCAATGCTGTGCACTAGACACTTCCTCCCAACATGTTTTTTTCTTTCAGGCGATAGCCGTGAGAGCTACCATAACGTCACAGTAGCAGTCTTCTCGCGGTACTACCTTCACTGCCCCGTAGAATCCCACTATGCTACATACAAGTGGTTCCACAATGACAGCTGTGTCCAGACCTGCAACGCCACCCACCATCCCTGCATCCACTTCATTGAGAATGTGACCCAGGACCAGTATGGCTGCTACATTTGTGTGTCAGAGGAGGGCGGGTACACGCAGACTCTTGTGAAGGAATGCATGGTGAAACAACCAGAATCCATGAAGCTGCAATGGAATCAGGCCACCACAACTTCCTGCTGCTCCTTGATGCTATTGCTGGATTTTGTCCTGCTGTTCCTCTTAAGGGACTGAACTGTGTCCTCGCCTACACGTGATGACTCACTTCTTGAGCTGCTGTTGAGCTCCTTGACTTCTCTCTTGCAATTCACCTCTAATGAAGATGCACTCCTTTCATTAGTTGCTCTTTGAACATTAATCTTAGTACTTTTCAGCCCTTTTCAATGGAGACTAAATATGGGAGCCCTCCTACCCTGGCGGGCTGCCCCTAGAGTCTATACCCCTCCACTCCATCCATGGCAGAACTGTGGAAGGGAGGACATTTAACAAAGGACTTCCCTCTAGGTTCCAGGTATGAAGGGAGATGATGTTCCCAAAGAGAGAGAGAGAGAGGAGGCAGCATGTGACCATCACCAGAAAGTAACAGTTATAGTCTGGGAAGGCAAAAGGGGCAGTGAGGAAATAAGCCAGGCAGCAAGGAAGGTGGGTGGGAGGGGGGTGCGGGTTGGGAGAGGCAGCTTAGACAGGACAGAAATAGGGGGGAGGGAGATTCAAGAAATAAGGATTTTTGTATTATTATAATTATTACTATTTTACCATTATTTCTCTTGATTAAGACAAATGATTTGTGTTTGGAAAGGAAAGATCAGCCCAGTCAAAATGGTGGAGGGAAGGGGCTTGTCCAGTCTTTCTCTGCTGAAGGGAAGATATAGTAGTTTGATGTTTTTTAAGATACCATGGCAGCGCAAACCCAGCTGAGCCAAAATCAGTCTAAGTTTGGTGAGACAAGGGGATCTGCTAGGAACTGCACCCCACAGAGCTTGAGAATGCAGTAGATTAACTTATTCACACAGCTGGAGCCATCCCACTGGAGGACCCTTTTGGTCCTAGCATGAAGGACAAGGCTGGGGAATCCACCTTGGCAAATACTTTTCTTGTGATCTCATATCTTCTGCCACTCCTGACCTGGATAATGCTTGCAGGCCATTTTTTCTTGCTTGGCTACAGATCACTGTAGATGGCTCACTGAAGCCTGCTGCAAGCTTTATTGAACAGGAAAGTAGCTGCTGCCCATTTGGAGAAATGCATTTGAGTCAAATGCAGAATTAGAGGCAGGCCTGTGTAGCTGCTTCTGAGGGTGTGAGCAGCTCACTTATTCATGTGTGACTGCTGTAGCTGAGCACCTTGGAGTGTGAGAGCAGATCAGATGTGTGTGTAGTCACCAAGCATGCTTGGCTTCTGTCTGGTTTAGTGAATCACTTATGTATTTTAAAAGCTGATCACCTGGAATCTGAATGTGAATGCACAACTGCTATTGAAGTAGAATAGGCCTGAGCTTTTCAGGTTTTTTGTCCCCACAGGCCATGAGCAAATGGACCTGCAGTCTTATTGGCCCATTCCAGGGAGATGACTGAGCCACAAAGGTCTGAACATTTTGCAGTGGGCCAGTTCCACAGGTCCAATCTCCTTTTAATATTGTTATTGTTGTTACTGTGACTTATTGTTGTTTAATCTGTCTTAAGTTTGTATATAATGGACAAAGGATGGGGAATCAGCATGGCTGAGACTGTAGGTGGGTGGAGGCCCTTGTAAATGATAGACGTAAGCCAACATGTAGCACTGAAGAGAGTCAGATGAAGGAGAACATGAGCGACTCTCGCATGGAGAGAGATGCACAAGAAGGGATTGGGAACAGATGAGTGTGGCGTAGATAATTGGGGGAAGGGGACCCAACTGGAAACAACCCAGCCCTGAGCTCAAATCATGGCTTGCTGTGTGCATACGAGTCCTTCCAAAGTTGCTAGCAGCTGCTGGGATGCATCTCGGGAGAAAATTTAGCCCCTGCTCCAAACTCTCTTAGATTACTTAAGGGAGTCTTGCAGTTTCAGTGATAGAAGGAAAAAATGGGCCAGACTTTCACCTGATGTAACTCCACTGATTTATAGCTTATCCCAGGGCTGGATCTGGTCCTGTGACATCCTCTTGCTGTGGAGACATGTACATGCTGGATTGCTACCAGCCTCCTGCCTGCAGACGGTTAGCTTGACTCCTACTGTAACGGAATGGGCAAAGCAACACATTTCAGTGAGGTTAAGAGGATACTCCCCGTGTGTCTGCTGTTCTGGTAATTTTCCACATGTCCATTCTTATCCCATGAGAAATGAAAGCTAACTCAGGGCAGCTTTGCCCTGCTTCATTAAAGGCTAGGCTGCTTTGCTTTAGTTTTCTCTTAACACAGGATAAAAGCAGACACGCAGGCAGCTAATGTGGAATATTCTCTTACCTGGCTGTGTCTTTTTTTTATTCCTTTGTCCATACCCAAAGACTAAACTGTGAAATAAGTGGCATTCTCCTTAACATGTGGGGTATCACATATTGAACAGAGCCTCTTATGAAACCAAGGCATTGCTTTGCCAACAGATAAGGAGTTAGTCCACTTCTTCTGCACTACATTTCCCAGTAATCCCAAGTCCTTTCTTCTGTCATTTTTAAACCAAGTTTGTGTTCATACCCTTGCTCAAAGCACTTTAATACCATGATTATCTGTAACTAATAAAAATCTTATTTATTATAATAGATTTGTTCTGTTAAAGTGGCAATTGCATTGTAGACCAGGTTACTTTTTGTTTTTGTTTTTTCAATAAAAGCCAGAATTTCTCAATAGAATGCAAAGTTGATCAAAGCAAGAGCTGAAGCATGTCAGCTGTCTGTTGAATCAATATGTGGTGTCCTTTGCTGCGTCATGGAAAGTCTCTAATTGGTGATTGGGTTGCTGGTTTCAAAACTGATGTGGAAGAGTGGGAGGGGACAACAGTGATAAGGATTTCTGATAAAGAGTACACTTGCTTCTCAGAAAGCTGAAGTACATGTGACACTTACTCTTGGTTGGCTGTGACCAAAGATTTGTGAAAGAGTAACAAGAGAAACGTGACGATGTGGATGTGAGATCCTCTGCAGTTCGGAGAAAATGTCTTAACCGCAGGCAGACCTTACCTCTTTGAACAGATAAGGTTGCCTATAGATGTGCTCCACTGTGTCCTGATTGGAACACATCAGAGCAGACTCAATTAATTGAATCTGCTCTGCGTTTTAATTAAAATGCTCTAGCATTGCATTGGGGTCACATGTATTAAGCCCCTGTGGATTTAAAAATGGCCACTGGGGAGCTTTAACTAAAGCTTGTCGAATGAGCTTTAGTTAAAGCATCCCATGGCCATTTTAAATGTGCAGCAGCTTAATACACGTGACATTGGAGTGTTTTAATTGCTGTGTCTCTCCCAGAACCACTTTAAAACACCCCACCCCTAAGCACACGTGTAGGCACCCTGAGTGACTTGAGAGAAGATAAACTGTCTGCACATCAGGTCTCAGGGTTTGAAGGGAGTGTCTGCAGTCAAAGAGGTACTTCTACTGGAAAAAGGATTGAGAATGGATGGAAGGTGCTCACTCTGAACCCAGAGTAGCTTCAACAGGCTTTTCATATGGGTGCTTCACATCAGGCTGCTACCCTCTGCCAGGGAGGCCCAGGAGGGAAGGAGAGAGCCCTTCGCTCCTTTGAGGGTGAGTGAGGAGGATGACATTTAATTAAATGGTGATATGGAGCCCTCTCTACTAGCTGTAGCACTGAGAACAGTAGCTTATCCCAAATGGGCCATTGCCTGGGGATGGGCTATGGTCCCTAATGAGCTGGGCTCACCATGTGATCTAGAGGTGAAAAGCTCCACCCGCTGTTGTCAACCCTAAGCTGTGCACAACCTCAGTCTCTGCATGCGTGTTTCTTGCTCAGGTCCCAATCAAGGCAGGCACACAAGCACTCCCCACACTGAAACTCCTCTGTGCTAAAAGGTAAATCCAGGCCTAACTGTTTAGGGTGCAAGTGTTTAGTGTCTTGTGAAATAAAGTCCCTAGAGCAGTGGTTCTCAACCTTTTTTAAACACAAGGCCTCCCTTGGAAAATGTCAGCTCTTAGTTTGCACTTCATTTTTTGACTACAGAAAAATAATAGAGCAATTCTTCTGTTGCAAAGAACTCAGGGCAGAGTGGGTTTGTCACTAGGGATCCCTATTTGAAATCTTGGGGTTTTATTCATGAATTGTTTGCACACCTAGAAGTGCTAACATAGTGTGGTACTCCATGGCACTCTAAAAGGATGTAAAGGCATCCCAGGGTGCTGCAGCCCCATGGTTGAGAATTGCTGACCCTAATAGATCTGAGACATCCTAACATCCTTGATCTTTGCAGATGTTCCAGCTGCATTTCATATAGCAATGGCTGTGGAGCACCGTTTGAGTGCATTTAGACTTCTGTGTATCAATCATTTGAGGCTGGCTGTGCCTCCATTGCTTGGCATTGTGCACACATGATTGGGACCGTGTGAACAGAGCATTGAGCATGGACTAGGGAGATGTAGTGTTGGAGCCTTGTAGCTGACCTTGCATTCATTGCTTTGCCTTGCTGTGTTTCTACTTCCTCGCTGGTCAATGGGGAAATGGCTATTGACCTCTTTTGTAAAGCACTTGGATGCCTCCTGATGGAAAGCGCTGTATAAAAGCCAGGTATCCTTATCAGACTAAGTAAAATGGGTAATCTTTTTTTCCCTCTTGATTCAACTAGCTTGACTTTTTAACCTTGTATGACTTGAACACCTCCCTGCCCCCTACTTGGCAGCTCCATGGACATAGTCTCTGAGGTATCCGACTCAGTGTGATGCTTTTTGAGGTTGTAGTATAATGGTTCTCAACCTTTTTAAAAGCAATATATACCCCTCAAAGTGCTAGCTGTTAGTTTTTACTCATTTTTTTGGCTATGGAAAAAGATTGCCATATTTTTTCTTTGGCAAAGAACTCAGACCACACCAGGGCAGATTTTTAACACTCTGGATTGTTGCTTGTAAGTGTTGGGATTATCCTGTGCTGCACACCTAATGGCACTTTCTCTTGGCATTTATGTCCAGTTCAGTGGTTTCTTATCTGCCCCCTTTCCTGAGGTGTCATCCTTGAACTTGCTAGTCTGGGTCTTGGTCCTTGTGGTCTTGGTCCCTGTAGCTGCAGTCCAGTTTAGGCTTTATTCAAGTATGGATTAATACAACCAGTAGTCAGCAGGGCCTCTGCAATTTGTATATGCATTAACAGCATGAACTGAAGGCATACCGTATACAGTACTGCCAACCCCACTGGGTCACAAATCAAGAGACAAACTCTTAAAAGCAAGAGATTTGGTATGTAAATCAGGAGATGCTCTGTTCTAACCTACCCTTCCCCCCAGCTCCTTCTGCATGTGCCCTGAGCAGCAACCTCTTCCTTCCCCCCACCTCCCATTGTGGCAAGAAAAGAACAACTGTCTAAGGAGATCTGGGAGAGAATAGTAGGCTGCTCTTGGAGGACTAACAACTATCAAATGCTGTTCCATAGTGCTAG